AAAAAAAACATTGAAAGGGTAGTTTTTGAATTTATTTCTAAAATACTGCTGCTGGTTTATAAAGCTTTGAATGGTTTAGGCCCAAAATACATTTCTGACCTCCTGCTAAATTATGAACCATCCAGAACTCTCAGGTCTTCAGGGACTGGTCAGCTTTCTGTCCCCAGAGTCAGAACTAAACATGAAAAGGCAGCGTTCAGTTATTAAGCTCCAAATATCTGGAACAGACTACCAGAAACCTGCCGGTCCGCTGCAACTCTTACTACTTTTAAATCCAGTGTCACGATCTGTCTGTGTTGTGTTTTGTCTTGTCTTTTTCTGTCTTTGGATTCCTGTTTTATTTTGAAAAGTGTTCACCCCCTGTCTTGCCTGTTGCTTTCTGTCTGTTTTCCCTCCCTGATTACCCGATTGTGTTCACCTGGTGCCCCTGTGTTTTCTCCTCCCTCCTCACCTGTCTCTTGTTTGTTTGATTAGTCCTGTGTGCATTTAGGTTCTGTGTTTTCTGTTAGTCTTTGTGAGTTCCTTGTTGTTGTTGGACTGTGTTCACTGAGAAGAGTTCTGTTGTTAAGCCTTGAAATAAAGGTATTTTCTGTTAATCTGCATTTGGGTCCTGCTTGCCTCTCTCTACCCTGACATCCAGGCTGAAGACTTTTAATTGATATATTCATATCTTAAACTGCACTGTAACTTTTATTGTCTTTGCTTTTGAATGCCATTTTCTTAATGTCTTTCATTTTTGTAAAGCACTTTGAATTGCCTTCTAGTTAAAGTCATTATTGGGGTTAAAGTCCCCTCGTAGGTGGTTAAAGTCCCCTACATGTGCCGTTTTGGTTTCAAGACCCTGGTTTGCGGTGGACACCAAAAAAGTCCTAGAAAGACAAGGTAAACTTAACTAGTGTATTTTAAAATAAGAAAGAGGAATAGTTTTGGCGAAACCTAAAAGGTATGGGATCAGATTAGAATTTGTTTAGCATGAAACACTTGAAATAACTAAAGGACAAGTTAAACATGAAAGAGGAAAGAAAGGGAGGTGATAGAAAACTATTTCTGCTGAAAAGTTAGCAATGATTGAGAGTCAGACCTAAACATTTCAGATGTGTGTATCTCACACTGCACTGTAACTTTTATTCATGTATCTTTGAGTGATTTTAAATGTCATTTGATATCATTGCTTTTAAATTAGTGTTTTTAGATATCATTTTATAATATGTTTCTTAATGATATTAATGTCTTTCCTTTTTGTAAAGCACTTTGAATTGCCTTGTCTTGAAATGTGCTATATAAATAAACTTGCCTTGCCTTATGTTAAAGTACTATTACCACACTGTTGTCGACATACTTTGCAACAAGAAAGAGGACTTTCTGGCTATATTCAAATTAAGAAAGTATGGCATAAACATAAAACTATATTCTAGGTAAAGTAAAAGTACTCATAATACAGAATGGCCCATTTTAGAATAACATTAGATTATATTTGATTATAATAATGAATGCAGTACAATTACTTTAATGTTGTAGCTTGTAAAGGTGGAGCTTTCAATTACACTAGAAATTGATGGATAGTTTAAACTATAATTATACCTCATTATAAATAATTAGTTGATTTATATTTTAATCTGAACCAGCAAAGTAACTAAAGCTGTGAGATACATGTATTACAGACAATAGTGCAATATACCTCACTGAGATGATTGGCAGAAAAGGAAAATACTAAGTAAAGTACATGAAGCTCAGAATATTACTTCCTGTAGGCCTACTTAACGTATAACGCTATGAACTGCATTGCTTGCATACAAACAAACAACACTGCAATAACAACCTCGAATGACTCTGCTGTTACCTTACATTTTATTAGGTAATATACAATTTACTTCAATCTTAGTTGATTGTTAACAACAAGTTAACAATCACAAGCAATAATAACAAGTTAAATAAAAATACATTGCTTATTTATAATATGCAAAAAAATGGAAGATCTCAGTTTAACAGAGACCAGGCCAGAATCAGACATGTTGCCTATGAATATTTTGTGGGAAAACACACTTGCGCAATATGTCTTTGAGTAAATTAATTCCAATTTAGTCTGACTCAGCTAGCGAAGTTAGTCATTTCATGAGAAGGATATTATTCATACATGTTTTAGTTTATGTAAAGCCCGCAGGCAGGTTATTTCGAAATTTGAAAACTAGTTCTACTGTGGATAGACTTAAATGCCCCGCCCGCTCCATATATTGACCAATCAGCGGTGAGGACACTACCACCTGTCTTCCTGACGCGCAGGTATGACTTCAATATAAGAGAGCTTTCCGACGAGCAGGCAGAACCTGCTGATATGTTAAAGTGGAAGTCTCCTTCACTTCAAAACTGTAAATAAGTTATTTTTTATAGACATTAAAATGATGGCGAGGCAAACCGCGCGAGAGAGGAGTCAGCTGCCCACCTGTTACTATCAGGGATACCTGGAGAAGAGGTCGTTCAAAGATAAGGTAACAGTTTTTTTTTTTTTTCTGTGCTAACTCCATGAGACAAGGTTGTCTTTGTTGAATGCAACAGGTTGAAATGGAAACGGACTGCTTGTTTTATTATTACTTTTTGTTTTGATGGTTATCTTCACTGGTGGAGGAAGTATTCAAATCCTATATTTCAGCCAAATAACTAATACGGTACCACACTTTGAGTAGGCCTATATGAAGACCCCATTACAAGTAAAAGTCCTTCATCGGAATCCTTAAGTACAATGATGTTAGTATTATCAGCTAAATGTATTCTGTAGTCAAATGTTCCCTGTGTTTTTTCTATTATAGCCCATTTGAAGATTTTGCATATTGTATTACTGTTGCATTAATATTCTCATTAACTGTTTTGTAGTTTAATCTATATAGCAATACATCATCATAATATCCTTGTAGCGTCCTGTATTTTGTTTGTCCTGAAACATTTATTTGACATGAGGTCAGATTTGTAAAGATGCATTTTTCAGATGATCCAAAATAAAAAAGTAGAAGCATGTTCTCAACACATAAAGGAAACACTTTATCCTTCGGTGTATCTCAAACTTAAAAAATATACAATACCCAAAGCCGTCACACAAATGTTGTGCGGAAAATAAATAGCGTTGAGATATTGTGGAGTAAAAGTATAAAGCTGCACAACCTTGACCTTGTAAAATGTAATTCCATAGCTGGTTATCTGTAGCTGTCAGGTTTTTTAATCTGTGTTATCATAATGCATCACATGAAAAAATAAGTAATCAGAACCAGCTTTAAGATGTTTACCAAAGATTAGGTGTTAAGTCTTTAGATTATACCCTTAAGTGACTTTATGTGCGCTATCCCTATTTTATTGTTTTATTGTAGATGTATCTGTTGATACATTTTTTCAGTTAAATTATCAATAGTTATAGCATTCAGCAAATTGTGAAAAATATCCTCTGCAAATTCCTGAAGCACAAGTTGAAGATTTCTTGCTTCGTCAGACCAACTCTATATGAAACAGATATTTAGCATCCAGCAAAACAACAAATCCTCACATTTGCAAAACAACTAAAACAAATAATTTATTGTCATTGATCAATTATTATTGACACATACATGTCCTCAAAGGTATGCATGTAAGACTGTGTGTGTGTGTGTGTGTGTGTGTGTGTGTGTGTGTGTGTGTGTGTGTGTGTGTGTGTGTGTGTGTGTGTGTGTGTGTGTGTGTGTGTGTGTTAGAGAGACAAAGATGTGAATGACTGGCATTCCAACAATGTGCAGGTATCTGCCATTCCTGTCCACGTTTGGGTCATTCCAGCCAGCGCTGCATGACTCAGACTTTCGAAACATAACAAAGAAGTCTTTCTTTTTAGATTGTGTGTTTATTTAAGGAACACATTGATCCGTGTGGTTGTGCAGAGGAGATGTATTTTACTTTACATCAGTATTATAGACGGTTTACCTATCTAATTGGTGCTTATTAACTGCAGTGTGATGACATGCTTGATGCTTTATTAACCCTTTGAAAGACTGAGTGTGCGGAGGTCTAACAACAAACCATGTCAGATCATGTGTAACATAGGTGGAGCCGCCTCTCATATAGATTCTTGTAAACTGTGTGGGCTTTGACAGCATCTGCGTCTCTCAACTGGTCTGACAGCAATTCTGCTCATTGTGCCATAAAGATAGAGCAAGCCCGGGAACTGAAAGAAAAGTAAAGACACTAACTGGCAAAGCAGGCTCTGAAAATACCTGCCAAGCCGTCACTGATAAGAGTGAACGCATCACAATGAGAGCTAAACACTAAATCAGAGGGGAAACTTTACATTCAGAACACTTTCAAACTAACCCAGTTGCAGATTGAAGTAGGGATGTTGTTTCATCAAAGTACAGTTTTATACTTTATTTTAGTTAAAGTCTTTTTCAGTGCTATAAATAATACCACTTATTTACTTATAAAAGTGATTAACATTCATATCAACAGAAACATAATGATCACCTAATTTGATAACTAATATTCAATAAGTAAGTTCTCATGCTAAAAGTAAAAGCTGTTTTCAGTTGCTTTTCTCTGTTTCATATACTATTCAACTGAATATCTTTTTCGACTTTTTTTTTTTGACTTACAAAAAGAAACATTTGTAGACATCACATTTTGCATGGAGAAACTGGGATGGACATCTTTCACCATTCTCTGACATTTCATAGCCCAAACTATTATGAATATAGAGGATCATTTGCAGATTAATTGAAAATAAAAATGTTATAATCCTACATTAGGATCCTTGAATTGTGTCTGAAAGGGCCTCCAAATCTAAGTTTAAGTTATTTTGATTTGGTGGTTGACCTGAAACAGACGACACTGGTCTATCCAATCCAAACACTGAACGCTGTTATAACACACGCTGGCGTCTGTTGCGGTTAAACTTGACTCCTCAAGTGTCGCTCAACAATGTCACCTGCACATACTGCAGGACGTCTCCCTTGAAAAAGGGATCGATGATCTCAATGGGTCCTACCTGGTTAAATAAAGGTTTGAAATGAAATGAAATGAAATGACTGCAGCCATCATGTCTAATTACTTGCTGTGTATAAAAAAACAAGCTTTCTTTTTCTTTCCCTTTGTTTTTGCCCAAACAATAACATGTGTTTTTCTATTTTGTTTTCCCTGCTTCGTGTACTATCTTTTAGTCGCTCATGAAGTCTCTCTCTCTGTGTTTGTGCAGACTTCCCGGAAACTGTGGGCCTGCCTGTGTGGAAACACGCTGTTCTTCTTCAACGAGAAGAGAGACAGCGAGGTAAGTCATTTCAGAGATTAGGGGTTAATAAACGACAGATATTTGGATGAATGTTAATTAAAGATGAATCCAACACTCAGGACTTGTGTGTCACCTTGTCTCTCTGTGTGTGTGTGTGTTTCATCAGTACATAGAGAAAGTGGAACTCAGTGGGATGATCTCAATAACAGACGACGGCAGCCAGGATCGAAACCTGGACGCAGCCAGACTCAACCTCCAGATGAAGGATAGAAATATCAAATTCACTGTGAGGGCATATATATATAAATATAGTTAAATAAGCCTCTTTTTTTCTGAGCTATTCCTAATTTTGACAATTTCTCTGTTGGATCTACAGGCTCCTAATGCTGAGGCCCGTGAGCTGTGGAAGGGCTTCATCCGCTCTGTGGCTGAGGTGGGTGGTGTTGAACTGACTTTATAGAAACAAAGAACAACACAGATCATATTTGATTAATCAAGTTTAGGATAACCCGTTAACATCAGTTCCTCATGTGCATGTCCCTGCAGCTGTCGGTACCGTCCTCCCTCAACCTGCTTCCAGGCCAGATCCTCATGCTGAAAGAGGCCGTAGAAAAGGAAAAGGAAAGAATAAAACTTGCTGCTGCCATTAACTCCAGCACCTACATCACCCTGCAGGCAGAGATGCCAGCGTGAGTACAAACAGGAGGCCAAAGTATTGATGCTTATGTTTGATTGTTTTTATTTCTAACGTTTCCAAACTAAAAGGGATGATGTTACAAAACCCATAACCAAAATTCATATTTGAGAGGAGCAATGTAAAGCTAATTAAAAAAGGAGTACTTCATTATTAAATGGCTATAGTATATCACCTGCCTTTTGGTTTTCCTGCTCTTCTTAATTCTGTAACTTTTACAAATAGAATAGGTAACAAGCTACAGTTTGAACAGCATACAGGACACAAAAGGCCTTACTGTATGCATCAGACTTCTAAGTAGGAAGACAAAGTTGAGGATCTTAATTCAAGCTTAGAAAATGATTTGTTTTCTAACAAAAAATATGCTTTTTCTTGAAAATTCTTTACAAAAATCCCAACCTTGCCTAGAGGCATCAGGCACCTGCATCTGATGCTCTGCATTGTTACAAATGTGTTGTTTCACGCGCACACACACACACACACACACACACACACACACACACACACACACACACACACACACACACACACACACACACACACACACACACACACACACAACCAATTAGTCAAAATGTTTCAATGCCCCCCTGTCCAGGGTTTTCTGAGAAACTGGATGATTCAATGGTTTGTTATGGGTACATACATGTCTCCAAAAAGTATATTACATCACCTGAAAAATGCAGCATCCTGAAGCTTAATTTAAGGCAGTGTTTTTATTTTTTTAAGGTATTGACTGATGATTCATGTGTGTGGTATCTGCTCAGCTCAGTCATTGCCCCGAGATTAGTGGTTAATAAAAGAGAGCTCAGTCATTGCCTGCTTGAATCTCTGACAAGATATTGGTGGTTGTTAATACACACTTTCTCCAATATACAACCTCTGTATGCGGTCTGGATTCAACCCTAGCATCGTTTTTATTTAACCTACAAAAATCAGTTTTAGTTGAGTGAAGCGTGAAGGTTTGATTTTGTCTAATTTCTGTGTTTTCTGCTATCCTGCAGCTGTTACCATGATGTTTCCCGTCTGGAGGCAGAGCTGCTGCTCGAGAGAGAATCCAAGAGAGGAAACGTGCTGCTGAGGCCGGGGAGGATTGTTAACTCCTTCGCTGTCACCACCAGGCAGAGCCTTGAAGGGTACACACACACACACACACACACACACACACACACATATATATATATATATATTGAAAGGCTGGCTACTCAATCCTTTAAATACTAAAGAAGGACTCAAAAAATGACTAGAGTGTATACATCTTTCAGTTTCTCAGAGCTTCATTTCAATTATTGATTCATTACATAGAGATGCTAATTTCAGGATCTCTGAGCTTTGACTTGGTGTGTATCAGTAGCAACCTCTTTTTCTTTTAAATATCTTGAATCACAGATCCTACACACATGTGGTTGTTGTCTTGGATGGTTATTCAATATGTTTGTTAATTTCATCTGCGTTACAATTGCCTCTCCCTCTCTTTCTCCATCAGCTCTGTATTCAGACACTATCGCATAAATCGTAAAGCTGATGGGGGCTTCGCTATTGAAGTTGACAATCCTGTGAGTATAAAAAAGTGCAAAGGTTCTATACTGTGCAGTGTCAGGCAGATAAGACTATCGGTGATGATACAGGAGGCATTGTCTTTATATTGCTTTATAAAAATCTGCTGTGCATATACGTTCTTCTGTATATTTGCAAATGAGCTTTACCAGTCTGCAACTTGAGAAACGACTTCACATGAAACCTGGCACTTGTCAGCAAGTATTTTATTGTTCAAATAAGAGATGGAAGTTGTTTTCAGACTTACTGGAACACATGACCTCCTAGAAAGGGCAAGACATTTTACCGGGAATAAAAGTGACGGGCGATGATTCAGTCATGGCAGTCACATCTTCCTGATCTGTGCTCTGTAGAAGTGTTTGATAAGACTCTAAGTTGACTGCCAGTGACATGACTCACCTGTGTGTGTGTGTGTGTGTGTGTGTGTGTGTGTGTGTGTGTGTGTGTGTGTGTTGAATGACTGGCAAACAAAGCCTGCTTTAATTATTGTGTGTATTTTATTCTTCTTAGATTTGTTAAATAAAAGTGTTCCTCTGTGCAGATCCCCTGTGCCACACTTCATGATGTGATCAACTATTTAGTGGAAACAACGGACGGCGTTTTGATTCCTCTCATCATCGAGGAAGCCTACGAACAAAGAATCTGTACGTACAAAAGCCAAGACACTTTTGTATTCATTTTGTCTTTCACCCTACTTATTCTTCTCTTTTTTTTTACTCACTTTATATTTAAGGTCAGCTGTTAAGTTATGCGAATATAAATCCCCCCAAAGCATGAACATTTACTCAAATGTATACATGACTAATTTAAGTTTGGCCTTGTTACAGCCTATATTCAGTCTGATAATGAAAATGGAGAGATTAGCGTTCGGCAGGCCCCGGCAAACCTGGTCCCACCGAGTATACCCCCCAAACCAGGTAATGTGTCCATCAACAAAACACACACACACACACACACACAAATACCTTCACGTCAACACACTTCAATATTTGCACATGTTTGCTTCGGTCCTGGTATGTTGTACCTACTCTACAAATAATCTTGGATTTGATTCCAACGAGTTACAGTGACACAGAACATGACTTTGAGTAGATACTTATATGAGAATACCAACCATTTCAACAACAATTAAAACAAATAAATACACTTTTTCATTTTGTATTTTATATTATAGACATACCGCATGTACCTTGTAGGAATAAAGCAACAGTGATTTGTATCCGGAGCTGTATCCGTGGCAATCCTGTGCAATAAACCTGCAGTTAGCAATATAAACACTTTTATGCAATTATTCTGTGCATGAGGGCCTGACATTTTTATAAAGTCTCCAAACTTTTATATATTCACTTAACTTTTAAAATGTTGCCATACGTTTTTAGCCATGGATGTGTACTCGTTTGTCTTTGTTCTATTACTAAAGAGTGCTTTTTCTCTATATGTAACATGTTAGCTTACTCTTTCTTATTGTTCGCCTCTTATCTGCTAAGTAGTATTTACTGTAACGCTGTTATTTCCTCGCTGCGGGACTAATACAGGCTTTCTGATTCTGATAACACCGATGTTTTCCAGAAATGGTTTATTTGCTTTGTGAGTCCACTCACCCACGCCAACCCAATCACTCAGTCTGCTTGTTTTACAGCCTTTGTGCAGCACGTAGCAATTCCTCTACAGAGATTGTTTTAGCTTTGAACGCTACACAAGCAGAAGTAAACAAGTCCTTTTCTTTGAGCCTTTATTTGACCATGCAGTTGAGAGGAAGGAATGCCATGTTAAGTGGAAATGTTTGAGCTACACATTTTTAACCTGATAATGGCACTACATTCAAACTCAGGGACTTTAACTTAACCTGTGAGTAGTGAACAGAGGTGGATGAAGTACTCAGATCCTTAACCTAAGTAAAAGTAGAAATACTTGGGTCTGAAAATACTCCAATAATAGTAAAAGTAAAGGGAAACGAAGGAAACTATGAGTATTTATTTTTATAACATTTTGCTTCTATTTATTATTGTTTATACATTTTATTCTGTTTGTTTTGCTTTTAACATGTTCAATAAATTAAAGTAAAGTACCCCTTATTCACAATGGCTCTTTTGAAAGTATTATATTATTTAAGAATATTATATTGTTCTATTAGTAAGTAATAGCAAATATGTTGTAGTTTGTGAATATGGAGACCATTTTCTTTACTGGATTTATTGTTGTTGTTATTGTTGTACTTGAGTAAATGTACTTAGTTTCTTTCCACCACTGGTAGCTGTTGGGGAATATTTAGCTTCGGTATCGAACCTTTAACCCATTCCATCATTTTCTCCTTGCACATGGCCTCGGGGTATTGCTGCTATCTCTCTCCCTTAATGAGGAGCAGTTCTGGCTCCTTGTTGCCGGTTCACAAGCTGACCTGAAATAGTTTATTGTTTAGATTCCTTCATATCGGGTGCGTAGGTCCCACTGGCGTACATTCTTGGGCCATGGACGACAGTTTTAATTTGATTTAGTGCCCTGTTTGTTTAATCCTGCTAATGAAGAATGTTGATTACACTTGGTTAAAACCTCCGACTACGGAAGAGATCTTCAGAATTGGTTTGGCAACCGCTGTGTCAACTCGTGGCTGCAGCACATGTCTTTTTCAATTCTCCGGCCGTAACTTCATAATAAACCATCAGTGTTTGACATCAAGTGAACTCACTGTGTTTCAACTCCATTGCTCCAGAAGTTTCCATTACAGTGTGTTAATAAAAAACCAATCAGTAGTTATTGAACTATTTCACTTAAAACAACATATGTGAAGCCCAGAAGACTGCTAAAGTTCGTGGAAATCATCTTTTGAGGAAAATTAACGTCTATACAAAATTCAAAAGCAATCCTTCCAATAGACTACAGGTATTCATGTCATTGTAAAGATAAGGTGTGACCAACATTGCCATCCATATCCTAACGTTCTTTTTTTACCTAATCCCCCTGTAATAATTATAATTACATGTCTCCTTCTCAGTGTCTACGAGAAAACCAGAGCCAGAACCAATCGAGGAGGAGAACGTTTATCTGAATGACCAACGTGAGTCTAACTCTTCTGCCACATCAATCAATGCTTCTACCCCTCCTGCATTTGCCCTTCTGTCGTGCAAACATAAAACAGGTACGACTTCATTTTTCCCATTGCTATCACTAACTCACATCTGTGTTCAAACAGCGGAGGAGAAAGAAACAGAGTCGGCGGATTCCTCAGCTGTTCCACTCCCACGTAAGTGTTTCCTCTTCTTATATTTCCATCTCGGAAACTCACAGTTTTTTTCCTCTTTCTTTTTTTCTGGGTCAATGTAAACCAAACAGGGGTTGTTACACACATTCTACAAAACAAAGGAACAGACAAAAACAACAATATATACAAAGCAGAATTATGAAATCAAACAAGACAAAACAAAGAAATGTGTTATCTTGTTTCTATGGGTAGTTATGTAGTGTAAATGTCTGTATGCCTTAGTGCACATGTGTCAAACTCAAGGCCCGGGGGCCAAATCAGGCCCTTGGTGGATTTAATTTCGGCCCGCAGGATAATTTTTAATTACTATTAGATCTGGCCCGCAGGTATATTGCACACACACCTTCACTCAATCCTGAGGGTTTCCTCAGCTCAGAGCCTGAGCCCAAACATTGATGAACTTGCACCCAAGATGAGATGCCAAGTATCTGGCAGCATCATCGAGCAGCAAACTGAGATTAAATTTCCTTCTGCACTATTTTTTCTTGTGACAACAGGGCATATTGTTTTTTGTTGTTGAGGGAAATAGTTTTTTTGAAGCTGTTGTTGGCCTGTGGAAAAATGTAATCATAAGAAACGAGAGAGAGCCCTAAGAAATTAAGGCAACTGAATGTTTAATGTTGTTTTTATAGGAAATAATTTAACCTTTTTTAGTTCCAGGTTTAATATGTACAATAAGTTCATTTCAATATGTTTTGCAATAAACATTGAACAAGTCCGGCCCTCGACTAGTACCGACTTTTTTATTTTGGCCCACTGTGTATTTGAGTTTGACACCCCTGCCTTAGTGTGTAACTGATAAAGAAGACTAAGCAAATACAATTTTCCATTTCATGACTCTTTTTTTCCTAAGAGCATAAATCATTGTATGTTTTTGTTCTTCCTCAGAACCGGAGAAAAAAGCTACGAGGAAAGCAATTATGCCTCCAAATCCAATTCCTGCTCCTCGCATGCTGAGCACAGCATCATCCTCCACCTCCTCTTCCTCCTCTACAAGCAGCACTCTGAAGTCAAGTGCTTCCGCCCCACAGATCTCCCTTCCCTCCTCATCAAGCAGCCGGGATCTGACGATGAGGAGACTCACAGAGCCCACCGGACAGAGTAAGTACAGACTCTGGGTATTACAGCTATCAGGAGTAACATGCAAGTGCTTTCTAAGAAACTTAAGGGGCCATATTATTTTTCTTGGGGTTTTCCCTTTAGTGTAGTGAGTTTCTCTCCCACACCGCTGACTGAAACATATCCATTGGACTGTAAATTAATGACTTAATGTTACGCTCGCGCTTCTATTGGCTAGTGCTCCAACACATTGTACTTGATAGGCTAAGAAGCGGGACATCTCTAAGCGGTTGACCAATCATAACCGAGCTGGCCAGCCAACCAATCAGAGCAAACTGGGCTCTGGTTTCAGACAGAGGGTGAAAAGAGGTGCTGCAGCATGTTTCTCAGTATGAGAAAAATAAAGAGCTTTTTGAACATTAAAGCAGGTAAACATGTCAGAGTAGAGAAAGACACAAAATACAAATACAATGTGATTATACCCACAAAAAATCAATGTATGCTATCACTTTGATTACAGTAACTTTGAGGTTATCTAATGATGCTCATTTCCAAAGCAAGATATCAACAGAGGATTTATCTATGAAATAGTTTACATGTTTGAATGCAACAACTATGACAGCAATCAAAAATCAACTAAGAGCATACAATTAACAATATCACATTATCCAGGGAGAGCATTTTCATTATAAATGTTTAATGCACGTCAACTCTTTTACTTTTTCATTTAGGATTACAGTTTGTTGTTGTGTTTGTTAAATTCAGTATATTAGTGTTTTGGTTTACAAGTTTTATTATGAAGATAAAAAACTGAGTTTTGGGGGGAAATCAAGCATTTATCAAAAGTTGTTTTCAAATGCAAGCATATGCCTAGCCTTGAAAACATTTGAGTTAAAGCTAAACATGTTCCGAACCTCCAAGAAGCTGAAGGCTTTCTCTAGATCTTAACGTGTGACGATATCATCTCAGAGTAAATTCACGATCTGCTGTCATGTGTGTCCTTTAACTTAATTGCCAATAATATAAAACGCTTGTGTTTTATTTTCCTCTAGTTCCTTTTGCTGCCATGTCTGAGCTGAAACTAAGGCTGCAACAGAAGGTCAGGTGTCCAGAGTGACCTCTCCTGGTGGGATCCTCTCAAAGCGTCTGTGAAACCCACCACCACCAGTGACTCAAACCAGAACACACCCCTCACCGGTTCCCCCAACACATGGGAGTGTGTAGAGCAGCTGCTTCCACACAAACAAGCTCCTTCCTCCTCTTCATCGTGGCTCTGCTCCTCCTCGTCAGCTGGCTGTCGGCAGCAAAGCCTCTCCGAAGATTAACACTTTATTGATTCACCCGTCTAAGACACTCATTAGCAAATGAATCAGCTGTAACGAGGGGTGTACCTGTCACATTATCCACACCCTGTTTCTCTTGTACATTTTGCACATTTACCACTGACTGTCCGTTTCCCCCCCATCAGACTGTATATTATTGTTTTATAGAGTAATCAACTTTTGAATTATATTGTATATATTTGTACATAGCTAATGTATCAATATAGTCAAACAAATGTATTGCTGCCTCTCTTTACAGTCAACTGTGAATGAAGAAGAGTTGGGGGACTAGTGTGACTATTGAAGGCAATTGTAAAACTGTCACATCATAATAAATACATGAACCAGCAACTTTGAGTATGTGCTATGCAACAGTTAGAAATCAGTTTTATGATGTTCTGTATCTGCTATATTTCCCGTGTAACAACCAGCTTTTGTTAAATAAAGCAGACATCTGTTTCTTACTTTCTTTTATTCCTTGTTGAAGCATAAATCCAAGAACAAAGTGCTTTTGCTCCTTTAATACCTCAATGGCTGACACACTATAGTGGAAAACTATTTACAATAAACTGTGACATTGTGTCAGCGAGTGAAATAAAGTCAACGTAATTTTCTTTAAAGCATTGCAGGCTAGTTATTCAGGAGATGCATACAGCGGGAGCAACATGGAGAAGCAAGACTGTAACATGACGTGGACGCTACTCAGAGGTCGGGCTGATAGGAACTTCCTAACATCATTTTCCAGAATTAAACACTTTTGTTTCTCATCCAGGTAGAACGAAAACCTGGCTAACTCTCAATACATTTTGTTAGCTGAGGCTACTTGCTAATTATTTGTTATATTTGGATTACAGGGCAGTCCACTACTCATAATGGGATTCCTTTTCAGCAAACAGTGGTGCTTTTAGACACAAACATACTGTACAAACAAGCATTAGTGTGCAGTGAGGTGAATAGGATGAATACAGTACAGTCGTTTCCAAAATCCTGGATATCTGAGGTACACTGACTAAAACTCACTTTTAACTTTCTGTGCTGTCTCGATGAAAGATTAAACTCTCACAGCAAACACCGACTCTGAATTAAAACGGAACCTCAGCAGGAGGCTAAATGACAGAGTGGGACGTGACCAAAATAAGTCAAATGCAGTAAAAACTGTTAAGTCTGCATGCATTAGCGAGAGGTAAAATATAAAGTTTGGAATATGTTTTGTAATAAAAGAATACTGCCCTGCCAAATGACTCATCCCATGTTCTTTTGAATTCTTGAAAAAATCCTTCATTTACCCGCAAAGACACCGAAGAATCCAAAAACTGAATATTTTCTGCAATTGAATAACAGCAAAACTATTTAGATACATACGATTTGGAGCCCTTCATTGCTTTACATTATTTCAATGGAAAACAGTTATTTTCTTGCTGTTTTTCTTTGTGGTAAATATACCTTTTATCTAGTGTAATATAAGTAGATTGACATCGTTGTTTATGCCTTTATTTTAAAGGCAGTTTTGGGTACTGGGCGATTTTGGCACCTGCTGGTTATGTATATATTGGATACAGGTGGTGATGGGATCAGCACACCAGCAAGGGCAAATGCTTTTTTTACCAGGGTAAGACAAGGAATGCCAGAGGAAAGGCACAGGGCAAGAATATAGGAAAATCATTGTTGATTGGAATAAACTGCATAAATGACGTTCCTGCCTTTGGATCCTTTTCCTGCATAAGGTTTGGTAACTAGTGCCTCAACAGCGGATTACATTTTGAGTAGATTTTCTGTTTGATTTCCTTGTAATTTTGTCGCTGCAATACGTTTACAAACTCTAACACAACCAGTGCAGCATAATTAAAGTCAGATTTGTGTAGTCGTATACTCACTACATCCCTACACATGATTTTTCTTCTTTTAAATCATTAGTATTTGTCTTAGTAGCAAGTCTGTGCAAGTGTAAGTCTATTTATGCAGTCATGCATTAAGACTTCTCCCTGTTTTTGGATTCTTATTTCACGGTGGAGGCATGCAAGAAACACAATGTTTTCTTCAAGAATTCAATGTAACACGGGGGGAATAATTGATTTAAAAGTTATCTTTTTGGAAGTGAAGTGTTTCTTGATGATCCGTAAGTAGCAGAGTAGAGTTTGATTAAAACCTGGTTAAATAAACTACATTATATCACTAGCATTGCCTAGGAGCCGGTTATTTGGGTTAAATAGGTTGGCTGATGGCGGATTGATTACCACTAAGCTACGTTACAACCAGGTTATAATGACACTGACACAACACGTTCTCTTAACTGGAAATAGGGAGATTTCTCGCATTGAAATATATCAAAGCATCACCCGATTTGAAAATGAGAAGGAAGGCACAGGGAGAGCTGCATCGACAGTACCTCTGACAGTTTCTGATGATGGCAAGGAAGGAAGGGCAGCGGCCAGCGCTAAATCTTTGCTCTAGCAGCAGTGGGACAGTGCTAAATGATGTGTAGAGAGAAGAAAAACTAGTACAGCTAATGTGTCTCAAGCAACAACACCAGCCGCAGTCATACACCTGAAGAGCTCTGTCACTGGCAGATGACTCACTTCTTGCCAAAACCATTTTTGTTGTTACGCTGGAACAGGTTGAACCATCCAGTGATGTAACTCTTCTATGATATAAGGCTTGGACCTCAGCCAGGGCTGAGGCGATGTTCTGCAGCGGTGACTGTGTTAAAGCAGAGCGTCCAGCAGGATAAAGTGTGGGGGGGGGTCTAGGTGAGGCTGGCGTTGGAGCTGCTGGTGTTGCTGTTCCTCCGCTGGCCACTCTGCACCAGGCTGGGAACCTGCATGCCCGTCAGCACCGAGAACGTGCCGTTCCACACCTGCAGGCACCACAGCAAGAGGAAGGTTAAAACAAATCAGGTGGTGGAACAATATAAAGGATTAAAGATGTATTTAAATGCTTTTGTAAGAACGTTTCTCACCATGAAAGCTGGTATAACAGGCTGCGGGAACTTGGTTTTGAAGGTGTGCATCAGCTGTTTAGTTTTGGAGTTGTAGAACGACAGAACACCTGGAGAGAATAATGAAGGTAAATCCAACATGGTACTATATTTCTAAAAGCCAGGCCAAAATGTAAGTGTCTTTTTTGTTGATTCATATATTTCAAATAGTATTAATGAATCAAATAGCCTATAAAATGTCAAAACGTTATGTCTTGAACGATCGAGAATTTAATTAGTTTTGTCTTCATCAATATATATTATTTTTATTCGAAAGAGGTTTTCTAATCCTAAAGAGACTTAACGGGTAAAATAAAGTTTGAATAAATATTAATAATATTAAAAGAATCTCACATTTTCAAAGATGAAACCATGGCTTCTCAACCATTTTTGCGGGGATAATGAGCTTAGTGATCAAATCTAATGTTTCTGTACTAAAGACAAATATTTAAAAGATCCTATTTTACACACTCACTTAATTGCTTACTGCCACTCAAAATAAAATGTAGATCTTATCGTTTGCAACAAATCTTTTCATTAATGATAAACATTAGAGTATTTATTTGTGGGGGAAAACTTCTCAACCTACAGTAAATGTATATCTGTTAAAATGTCAACATTGACCCTTTGTGTTTGTTGGAAAAATACTGAATGTACTCTTCCAATATCAGAGTAGCACATGATAACAAAGGCCCTACGTAGCTGTGTATGTAACAGGATGTATGATTATCTAGAAGAGCATCAGGACTGTTTTAGGCATAGCTATGTGACAACGATTAACATGATGATTCAGCCTCTATCAAGGTCGTAAGTCGCATATTCCAGGTGCAGTCTTTCTAGTACGGAAAGTACAC